TTGTTTTCCACAGTGGTTGAACTAGTTTCACCCCACCAACATGGTGTAAAGTGTTCCTTTTTTCCACATCCTTCAGCACCTGTTGTTTCCTGACTTTTTAATATTGCCATTCTAGTGGTGTGAGATGGTAATCTCATTGGGTTTTGATTGGCATTTTCTCTGATGGCCAGTGATGATGAGCAATTTTATGTGTCTGTTGGTGTATGAATGTCTTCTTGAGAAATGTCTTGTCATATCTTGGCCCTTTTTGATGGGGGTTGTTTGTTTTTTCTTGAAATTTGTTGGAGTCTTGTATGGTTTCTGATCTTGCCCTATTGTTCAGATGAGTAGATTGCAAAATTTCTCCCATTCTGTAGATGTGCCCGTGTTCACTCTGAGGGTGTGTTTTTGCTGTGCAGAAAGCTCTTTAGTTTAATGAAGATCCCATTTTTCAATTTTTGGGCTTTGCTGCCGTTGCTGTTGTGGTGTTTTAGCATGAAGTCTTGCCCAGCCTATGTCCTGAATGGTACTAACTAGGTTTTCCTCTAGGGTTTTTATGGTATTAGGTCTAACATTTAAGTCTTAATCCATCCTGAAATTAATTTTCGTATAAGGAGTAAGGAAAGGATCCAGTTTCAGCTTTCTACTTATGGCTAGCCAATTTTCCCAGCACCATTTATTAAATAGGGAATCCTTTCCCCATTCATATATGTATTTTTAAATCCTGCTTAAAATGTTGGGAGTAGGCTGGTGGCACAGGGGACAGCATATTCTATGTTTCTCATATAAATGAACAAACCACTTCTGTTTCCCAGAAAACCTGGGGTAGGTTGAGAGAAAGAGAAAGGGTCTGCCGTGACCTGTGGGGTCCCCGTTGTTAGGACAGCCTTTCCTTCACAGTGCAGACGGCCTTATCCTTCTGGAGAGGACTTCATTTTTGGACATGATTTTCAACCTGGTCTTTTAGTTATCAATCAAAAGTGCATTTTCTGTGTTGTCCTCATTTACATTTATTTAATGTTTAAGGTCATTTGTGACCATCTGAGTGTATTTCAGCATATGGAATCAGGGAATAATAGATTTCAGCTTCATGCTGTGAAGAGAGATTGTGTTTTTACAAGACATAATGTTGTTTACTGGGTGTTAATAATCACTAATTAATAAACATATCTAGACTTCTAAAATGTTGCATTTTGAGGAATAAAAATGTCAAGTGTTTAACTTATGGAGTGCAATAGTATTTTCTGTCATCTCTTCATAAAATAATTAAGTTACATAAAGAAGCAAAATGGCATTGTTCAACAAAGGACATATCCCAAATGCTTAATACATGGCCTTTGTTTCTATTTTTCTGTTCTCAAAACTGCTATTTCTAGATATATTGTTCTGATATGTACCTGGACATATAGACTATGTGACAATAATAGTCATATAGAAACCTCCAAGATAAGGGTGGGTTTTTTCCCCCATCTTTATCTCATACTAGTTGCGGTCAGTTTCTTTTCTTTTGAACCCTGCAAGCATTTTGTTCAAAGTCTACCAAAGCACTTTCTAGAGAATAGATAGATTGAGTTAGTCCTTGAAATGCCTTGATCTTATATTAAGGAGCAACTTGATCACTTAACTGTCAAGAAGCTAAGAGAAACGGCCAGCCACTGATGTAATAGTCAGTATTCTCCCTCCATCCACTGCCTTCCCACCCATAACCAGTACAATGTGATGAAAGTATTCGTTCCACGAGAGAAGAAATAAAAGGAAGCCATTCACAAAAGCGCTAAGATAGAGTTCAATACTCTTTTTTAGTACCTCAATGCATATGCAGAATTTCTCCTCCACATTGGAGGTGTGGAATAACAGCAGCGACAGATAACTAAGAAGTATTTACCATAGCTATAAAGCCCACACGTGAGCCAAATATTTCTGCTATTAAAAAGCACTTCAAAGCTTGACATGAAGTTTGTAACAGCTGAATGTCTCTTATGACTTCATTTGCAAAGATATATAAGCTGAAAGGAAAGTCATGATATGAGAACTATGAGCCTAAGAAATGGTATATATATTTAAAAAAAAAAAAAAAAAAAGCTGCCCAGAAATTTGATTGGCATCCAAGCTCCTGTTCCCACTACTCCGATGATGTTCTCCATAACTATCAGCATTTCTCCTACTACTGACATCTTCCTGCCTCTTACACAGGGGCAGACCCAGGTTGTATGGGGCCTGAAACTTATTTTGAGGGCCCACTTAAGAAGAATGAATTCTATTATACCTTACTTTGATAAATTTTACAGAAATATATGACCATGTGAACACATTACTAGGGCTTCTCCAAGGGCCTTGGAAGGGCCCTTGCAAGAGGCCCTGACGCTGAACCTTCATTAGCTTCACAGTCAATCCACCTCTGCTCTCATAAGCACCACCATCCTTGCCTAGGGTAACTCTTCTCTTAGCTACCAAACTTTCCTGCTCCCTCTATCTATTTTAATCATAGTCTGATTGTAGCTAAATGTGAAAGACGTGTTGGTGAAAGTCTGGAAGCCTTAGCCCTGGCTGAATCTAAGATCCACTTATATGAAGCATTACATTCATTACTTTTCAGCTTAATACAGTTATTTGGTTTATTTGTTGTCCATCCATGCAGCCGTCCATTCACTTAACAAATATGCCCAAAGTACTCTGCTTTGGAGAATATAAATATGCAGTTATCAAAAATAATTCTTGAACAAAGGAAACCATGCTACTAAATATAGCTAGAGATTGATGAAAGAGCAAGGATATTTACAGTATCTCAATTGTTGGGTTTATCTAAAGCTGTCTTCAAAATTGTGACTGTTTAACAAAGAACCATTTGGAGCTTTTGACGTCTATGTATTTCTAGTTCTTCCAGAATTAGTGAATAGCGTCATTCTCTGGTTAATATTAGTTGAGAATTACTAAAAAATATATTAAATTTACCCTGCTGTGATGATGAAAGTAAGTTTCACTTAACAGTGTATGTATCTTTGTGTGAAAGTTGCTAGTGAATTCAGGTTTATGACCTTTATTATTCTTTGATAAACCATGAATTTTAGTAAACTATGGAACTTATGTTAAGACTTTTTTTATAACCCAAACTTTACCTTTATGTAGGCCCCCAAGATTGGTTTTTGGTCGCATTGCCCTATTGCTTTTTAAAGATTTATACCTCCTCTGAGACTCAGTTTCCTTTAGAGGTTAAAA